TCTAGAGCTGGCCCCTCTAGAGAATGATAACTTACTGATGCTATCAGTTATCTGTTAGCTCAAAGGGAAGAGGCTTCTGTGGTATATCTAAAGGTTTGAGCCCAGCTGCTGATCTGTGTTAGTGGCAGTATGATTCCACATGATGGAATTTGCAAGTTTTCAGCTTGCCTTCTAAAAATCTAGGAAATTACACACAAAAAAAGCTCAACAGTAAGGTTGCACAGTGAAACTGTCAGAAGCTAGGAGAAGGCAAAATTAACATTGCCTGTGTACCTGTTGTCCTAGCATATATGCACATGATCATCTAATTAGGGACTTTTTCTCCACATGACCCCTGCCTTCACCAGTGAACGGCATAGACAATGCACATGTAATGAGAAGCTATTCAATATTTCATTCTCATAGTGCAATATATGTCCATAAGCCTCATTTGCTGCACAGTATTCAAACCCTGCCCTGAAGTCAGAATTATTAATTGCCATTACATTAATTTTTTTCAAATGATTTTTTTAAAGGAATAGCTTTTCTCTAAAGTGCTTGCAAGCACTGATAAAGTGTATGAACCTGAACCAGAAATTGATTATAAACAAATGTGAAATTGACTGTTCTATTTTCATGTTCCAAGCTGACAAAAAAGCAGAAGTGGAAACAAACATTACGAATGGTGAGAAGTCAATTAATTTTAAAAAAATCTTTTTTTTAATTTGACATCAGTAAAACACATAAATCTGCAGTATCTACTTTTAACTCAACAATGTTGTTTTAATGAGACAAGATGATTGTACGTATTGTGTGGAAGGGCAACAAATGCAAGCCAACACTAGAATGTAGTAATACACCTCTAAATCCCCCCTTCACCTGACATGAGTGTTAGTCTCTCCATCGTATTTTAAAGATTATTTATTTCAAAAGAACTCATTATGATCAGTTTTCCCCCTGTATTTATTATTTTTAATCTATTTGTACTGGACTTTCTCTGTTTCATCTTTTAAAGAATTTTATCAAGTTATTACATGTTTTAATTATGGTGCAGTGCCCTGAAGGTAGCACGCTGTTAAAAATTAATCAGTGTTAAATGTGTTTATTTTATGTATTCACTTTTATATTAAAATGGAGAGCACTTGTCCTTACAAGTCCTGTTATTTTCTAGTGCACACACAAGCTGTTGCAAGAACATTATTAAGGCTGCAGAGTTAAGCACTGAAAAGCTAAGAAATTGTAGAATTAAAGTTGTCTGTGCAACTTCAGTTTGACCCTTTTTTATTTATCCTTCAAGATACACTTTTAACTTGCATGATTACATTATTTTTTCCCTGTGATCTCCACCTCATTCAGTATATGGAATGGACCTGCTGTGGGGATCTGTAGAGGACCCTTGCTTCATTTGTTGCAGAAGCTGGAAGTTCTGTAATGAATGACAAATGGGATTGCAGAAAAAGAAAGGATAGTCTCATGGTTAAAGACAATCAAATGCTAGCCAAGAAAACTGAACTCTAGCCCTGCTTCTCCACACATTTCCTATCTCATGATTTTGTGTCAGGCAAGACACTTAAACTAAACCTCTAACAGATGGTCATTAATTAGGTTCTCCTCATTTTCTGGGTACAGTACTTGATGAGAGACCTGGAATTTGATTTTCAGAAGTGCTGAGCATTCACAGCTGAAGTCAACGAGATCTGTCTTTGAGCATCTTAAGTGCTATGTAATGAAAAGTACTCTGAAAATCAGGTGCTAGGTGCCTCAAATTGAGCATCCAAAATTAGTGGACACCTTTGACCTTAATGTCTGTGCCTCACTTCCCAGTCTGCAAAATGGGGATAATACCACTTCCACCTCACACAGGGAAGTTGTAAAAATGACACTGTTTGTGAAACACTCTGGTACTATGTGATGAGCACCACAAAAAAGTTAATGAATGAACAGATTCCTTTGGTACGATTAGCAGAAACGTGCTTTGTACAAAACCTGAATTTGAGCCTTAGTTAACGTGACAACATTACTTTCACTTATGCAGGAGGAATTAATTCTGATCAAGACATTTGCTGGAAAATAAGTGCATTACCTAAGACTGAAAATAGATCTCATTCTTCCTGTGGAACATGTTATCTGTTCTGTGCACTGCATGTTTAAAAACACTTTCATAAATATTTAACTACAAAACTTGACTGAAAAAGGAATGCATCCAGGTGCTGGTCCTGTTTTCTAGCTGCTGGCATTGAAATATCTTATTGCTACGTACTTGTTGCTGTCTTTGGTAATGGTGAAATGGTTATCAAACTGAAGTGTAAATTGCTATTGGGCCATGAACAACTAGCTGGTCACGTGATGCTTCTGACTTTCCTTCTTAATTTCAGCTGGTTTTATAGTCATCTATACTCTTCATTGCAGCAAATGATCTTGACTAGCTGCCTCTACAGGCCTCCACAGCCTCCACTAGGGGCTGCTGCTGCACAGAAGGAGAAGAGACAAGAGACTGAAGTTTTCAGCCATCAAGGGGAATGGCCAGTGGGACTGTAAATTAGACTGAAAATTATTCATATAATTAATATTAATAATTATTATTTGTATTTTGGTAGTGCCAGTCTTGGAGTAGGACTCTCTTATGCTAGGTGCTATACAAAAACAGAACAAGGACTCCTGCTGCAAAAAGATTATATGGTCTAGGCTTGTCTCCACTTATAGTGCTGCTGTGATACAACCACACAGTGGAGCTGCACTGCTGTAGCACTTAGAAAAGATGCTGCCTATGCTGATAGAAGAGTTTCTCCTGTTGACATAGGGCTGTTGGAACCAGGAGTTAAGTCAGTATAACATCATCATTCTGGGGTATGAAAAATCCACATAGAAGTATAAGTAGATAGTGTAGACCAAACCTAAGTATAAAGAGGAGACAAATGGGGAAGACCATACACAAGGAAACAATGAGATAATAAGACCATGCCTTTCTATGAGTTTCCACCGTCTTGATTGGGCCTTGGTCATTACAGAAATACAAACAAAATTATATTAATAGAGCCAACTCTACTGTGGAGAAGGCAATCAAGCAGCTGAGAACAATGTCCAATAGAAGAGATGGAGAGGACCACCAGAAGGACTGGAAGACCAGGCATTGGGAATCCTGGGGGAGGGGAAGAACAGAATGAATGAAATTGCAAAAGTAAACTGCATGTTTTCCTTTTTCCAGTTGACATCACAGGCAGTTAATGACAAATCCTTAAGTCTTTTTCCAGACAAGTGCTCATTGAATTGAATGAATCAGAACTGAGTAAAAGTTACTGGTTGCTTGTGCTATGTGTGTCTGGAATGTCCTTAAAATACAGAAGCCTGAACTTGTGTACTAGCAAGTATGGAGAGGAGGCAGTGACTTTCAAATACTTACTATCAATAGCTTCGATTTAAAAAAAAAAAAAAAAAAAGTGAAACGTGTTTCAAATATTTAATGAATTAACCATATATCCTGATATTCTTCTCTAGATCAGATTCAGTCCAATCTATGCCACCTTCATAGTATAAGGGTATTATCTACACTTGGAGTTGGGGGGGTGTGAGTCTCATCTGCGAAAGAAACTCACACTAGCTTTCATCAAGTTATCATGTGAAAATTAGAATATAGCTGCAGCAACATGAACTATGGGATGGGTTAGCCATCTGAGTATGTCTCTGAGAGACCCAATGCACATCCTTGGGACAGCTAGCCTGTCCTGCCTTCTGTTTGTAGCATGCTAGCTCATGAAAGATAGTGAGAGTTTGTCCCCTGAAAACATGCTCCCAACCCCTAGTTTAGATATAACCTAAGTTTGTCATTGAGAAGGCTAATATTCAGGAAACTGTAACGTGATTTCTAATTATACATAGTTTTATAGGATACAGGCATTTTGTATTCAAATTAGTTGGAGAAAATACTTTTTGTATTTGTATTCCTTTAACAGTGCCTGCATTTTCAACATCTCAGTTCTGTCTGGGATACATTATAGGTTAGACTATGGGACAGGGAATTGAGAGGCCTAAAATCTACTTCCTTTTCTGCTACTGACATGCTAACATATGCCAGTTCACTTAACTGCCTTGTCTCTATCTGCAAAATGGGTATAAGAATGCCCATCTTTCTAAAGTGGTTTGGGATTCTCAAATTATATGTGCTAAAGGAGCGCAGAAAGATGTTCGTGCACTTTATACTTCTTTACCTCTTGTATTTTTGAACTATTTTTAATTGTATTTGCGTATACCAGCCTGTATAACTTTTCTGAAATATACCTCCAGGATAAGCACAGAGCCCAACCAAGACATGTATGTGTGCCTTTTGTAGAATTGCTGCTTTGTTTGAAAGTTATCTTGGTTATTCAGCCGTGTCTGTAATATATTTTTTCAGTATAGGAATCACACAGTTAAGTGACTCTGGCTTTCTAAGGCTGTACAAAATAACTAGGAACATAACTATTTTATACTCAATAAGGTCTGGTGCAGCGGTTCCCTTCCTTACCAATATGTGATGTTAAAATAAGAAATGCTGACTTATGAAGTCTTTATTTTGATGAGACGAGCATGTTAAAACTAAATTATTGTATTAATATTTTGTGTGATGTAATTTAAATTCATTAATGGCAAAATCTATACTTTGAATAGTAATACTTGCAATGTGTAAAGTTATTTGAGGGTTAAAACTAAACTACCTTTTTCAGAAACCACATCTGACCAGAGTGACATTGAAGGCCGGATCAGAGCCTTAAAGGATGAGCTACGGAAGAGGAAGTCTGTTGTTTATCAGCTGAAAAAGGAACAGAAGAAGAGGCAGAAGGAGCGCCTGAAAGCCCAGGAGGCCAGTTTGATCAAACAGCTAGAGGTTAGGAATAGTTGGAAGAGGGGCTAAGTAACAAGTCAAATTGCTAGCACAGTATGAATTGGTGTACTATAAAGGGATGTAAGAGCGTAGCCGTTTAAACAGCATGAGCTTCTCAGTTATCTAAAGGGTTATATGTGGCTCCCGGTCCAGCTCCTAGGGAGCTGGCTGCCACCTCACACTGCTGCTTCTGTACCAGAGGCAGCAGCAAAGAGCAGCAGCGGACTCCCTGGAAGCAGGGTGGCAGGGAAGGAGCCAGTACTCCTGGGTAGCTGGTTGCCACGCCACGCTGCTGCCTCTGTATCAGAGGCAGTAGCACAGGGCAGGATCAGGGTGACAGGCTGCTGCCCCGTGCTGTGGGTGCATGTAACCGCTGACATTTTCAGCAGTTACATGATTAGCCAGTTACCCACATCTTAACATCCCTAACACTACAGTCAGTTGTTGAAGAAATCCCTTTATCTTGTACTTATTGATATACCTTGTTATAATAGCAGCTCCACCATTCTGATATTGGTTTAATATTTCCAATAATTCTGCAGTAGCCCATGTGGTACTGATATGATGCACAATCCTCTTCAGGATAGACGCTTAATCCATTGAACCTTTGTTCCACCAGTAGTATGATTTGAGGGGAGGATTGCAGGGGGAATTATATTTATTCAGATTTATCAGACACTGTCGAAGTCTGTAACAATAAAATATTAAAATTCCAGCCACTCGTAACTGTAGTTCTGTTACGTGTTCAAATAAGCTGTTTGTTCAGTACCTACATGAAAACTTCTTGATTTGAGAGCAGTCTTCTTAAAAAAAGGGGGGGGGGTGCTTTATTCATTTGAAAACTTCTGTTTGCCAATTGATTCTTCCAAGAAGTTGTGTTTTGGAAAATTCACAGCTTTGACTTTTTCACACTCAGTCTTACGATGAGTTCATAAAGAAGACTGAAGCAGAGCTGAGCCAAGACCTGGAGGCATCACCCACAGCTAAGCCTCAGATTAAAACTCCATCTTCATCTACTGAAAAACCTAAGATTAAGCCACCTCCACTCCATAGGTAACTTAGAACTCTTTTTGTAATTTAATATTTGCCTCGTTTGCAGTTTTCTAGATCAACTATAAAATGCCTTTTCCAGAATATGCTACTATTGTAATATAAAGTAGTTGTGTGAAGATACTTCTGAATGAGGATGGAAGAAAGGTACAATTTGGGCAAGCTTCTCTGTTCCTCAAGAGAATAGATCTCTATTGTGTACTTGGAGAAATTTAATTTATCTGAAACTAACCACAAACATGCATTAGAATGTGTTACATGTGTGAAAACTCAATAGCATTTTCTAGAAGAGGGGACTACAGGAGAGTTGCTACTATTTCAGAAAGTGCAGCAATCATTGGGGTAAGGGAAAATCACAGGGAGGAAACCTGAAGACCACGGCTCCCTTGGCCACTGGAAAATGGCAGTGTTGATGCTTTATGCTATCCCAGTCAGCAAATAAGTTGTCATACAGATAACCATTGTATTAAGTTTCCGTGCATCTATCAGTAAGATCCTGCCTCTTTTTCTACCTCATCAGTGTCCAAATTTAGGGTCTTTCTGAGCAGCATCTCCTGGTTCTATGGCATTGTGACAAATATTATGGATGGCTTTATGACCTGAACAGTTCTCTTCCCATCCACCCCCTCTGCACCTTCCCCCAGTAGAAACCAGTCATATCTACAACTTAAACCTAGTTTACAACCCAGGATTGCAAAAGTAACAATTCATTAGCCCATTACAACTACACCTCTTGGTGCATCTCCTTGTGGTTCTGTTTCCCACCCCCAACAGTTGGTGCTAGAAATCCCATTGGCCTCTCAGTAGTAGGTTTACATGCACTCAACTGCAGAGGGTTTTATTTTTAAGCTAATATTTATTAGAAACAGTACATCCTGGGGTGGGTTTCTATTCCACATGTACATATGCACACCTTTACAATTACTTTGTGTTAATCTTGACTTTAATGCACTCTTGCATTGGGGTACACGATTCTGTAATTTATGACGGTTTGTATTTATGCTATGTCTAGCAATTTCGATATCTGGAATACTGGTGATTGACTTCATTGACTTTTCAACTGTAGGCCTGAAACAACAAAGAACTGGAAATCACTGACTGAATCAGAGCGGTCCAGAGTATCTTTGGAATCCATTGCAGAGCATGTTGGTATGTAGTTGGAAAATAAGTGCTGCAGATGGAGATGCCCTTTCATAAATCTTGAAAAATTTGGTTACTGTGCTTTGAAAAATATCCATTCTTTCATAATCTCTCACTATTTGTTCCAAGGTGAGAAGAGATTTAGAGAGAGAGAATGGTTAAGTCAAAACTGAAATCATCGTATATACACTTGCCTTTTTCTTCTTCCTGTATCAATTTGACTAAGAAACAGTGTACTGGGCCATAAATATTAAGTTCTGATACTTGCTGTGAAACATCAAAAGGATAACAGCTGTTTTTCTTTTTGCCTCTCTTGTTTCCCTGAACCATATAATTTGAGAATACAGGCAGTCCCCGACTTATGCGGATCCGACTTATGTGTACTCCGACTTATGTCCCGCCGCCCGTGTACTCCGGGGCGAGAAAAGCTGCTCCGCGTCTCCCTGGTCTGCAGACCAGGAAGACGTGGAGCAAAGCCGTGGAGGGGCTCGGGCAGCCCAGGCACGCCTGAGCTGTCCCGCCGCCGGCTTCCCC